AGAGGAGTTTAGACCCAAGAGAGGGGTTAGGCAAGGAGATCCCTTATCTCCTTACCTATTTGTCTTGTGCATGGAGAGATTGGGTCACTTAATTAATAATGCTGTTGATCAGAAGAGTTGGAGGCCTGTGAGGTTGGGCAAGAGGGGTCCTCCCATTTCTCACCTATTTTTTGCGGATGATCTCCTGCTTTTTATGGATGCAGAGATTAATCAAGCTGAGATGGTTACTGGAATTCTTTCTCAGTTTTGCTTGGTTTCGGGCCAAAAAGTCAGTGAGGACAAGACTAAGGTGTTCTATTCAAAGAATGTGAATCACATTAGAAGAAAGGATCTTGGTCAGATATTGAAATACTCCTCTACAGCAGACTTGGGTAAATATTTAGGTGTGCCTGTCCTGCATAAAAGAGTTAACAAAAACACTTTTAGGCACATCCTAGAGAAGACTAGCAATAAGTTGAATGCTTGGAAACAGAGAACTTTGTCTCTTGCAGGGAGAGTGATTCTAACCAAATCTGTCCTTGAGGCTCTACCAGTTTACACTATGCAGACAGCACTCATTCCAGTGGGAACCTGTGATCTTATTGAGCAAAAGATTCGGGGGTTTGTGTGGGGTTCTGATAGGGAAGTTAAGAAGGTTCATGCTTTGCCTTGGAATTTTGTTTGTAAACCAAAGAAAAATGGTGGTTTGGGTATTAGGGGACTTAGACAAACAAACAAAGCTTGTATCATGAAGGTTGCTCATGGTCTCCTCACTAAGAAGGATCAATTATGGGCTAAAGTGTTAAGGAGTAAATACAAGATGGAGGAGACTTTGATTCCAAACATAGTTAAGAAGCCTGGTACTTCCAATTTATGGCAGGGAATTGTTCGAGTGTGGCCTCAAATTATGAATGGTTCCAGAGTTATGGTGGGTAATGGGAAGGGCACTTCCTTTTGGAATGATAAATGGTTATCTGTTGGGCCATTGAAAGATCTTACCACTCATGAAGTTCCAGCAGATTTATTAGGTTGTGAGGTTGGGGATATGGTAAAGGAGGATGGAGATTGGAACTGGTTGAAGTTTGGCCACCTAATCACGAGAGAAGCCTCAGATCATGTTGCAGGTATTTGTCCTCCTAACCCTTCGAATGGGGAGGATAGGGTCATTTGGGATTTTTCCCATGATGGAAAATTTTCTATTAAATCAGCTTTTGAAAACTGTGATACAGATGGCAGTTTGCAGGATAATCTGAATTGGAGTCTTATTTGGGACTGGGGAGGGCCTCTTAGAATAAAGACTTTTCTTTGGCTTGCTCTTGGGGAAAAATTGCTCACAAATCAAAGACGGATGCAGAGACATATGTCAGAATCTGAGGTTTGTCCTAGATGTAATTTGTTTGCTGAAAATTGTACTCATGTTTTGAGGGATTGTGGTTGGGCAAATTCTGTGTGGAAAGTTTTTGTAGATTCTAAATTCTGGGGTGTATTTTTTAATATACCCTTATCAGAATGGTTACAATCTAATTTGATACAAAAGAAGAGCTGTGTGGGGGGTGACAGTGGGCATATCCTGTTTGGTATTATATGCTGGTCTCTTTGGAAAGATAGGAATAGTTTGGTTTTTGAGAATCAAACCTCAAGTGTGGAAACTTTGGCTAGAGGATCTAGTTTGTTACTGTCCAACTATATGGAGGCAAATGTAATGTACAGGAAGGCTGGGATAGGAAGCAGTCCTAAGTCTGAAGTGATGATTCGCTGGAACCCTCCTCATCCTGGCTGGGTTAAGATCAACATTGATGGTTCAGCAAGAAGCAATAACACTCAGAGTGGGTGTGGTGGTCTGCTACGAGATGACATGGGCTGCTGGATTATGGGATTTACAAAAAACTTAGGAAGAGGCAGTTCTACTAAAGCGGAAGTGTGGGGTCTTTATTTGGGCCTTTTACTAGCTTGGAACAAAGGGTATAGAAGGGTGATTCTTGAAGGAGACTCACAGGTGGCTTTGCAGCTTGTCAAGGAGGGATGTGATTCAAACCATCCTCTGGTTTTTTTGGTGCAGAAAATTAACCAGCTGCTGAATTTCGACTGGCAGGTGGAATTAGCTCATGTGTATAGGGAAGCTAATAGTGTAGCTGATTATTTGGCTGGGTTAGCTCATGATTTTGGTTGGGATACTTTCTTTTTTGATGTTCCCCCAGAGGGGTGTATAGATCTAATAGGGAGGGACCAAAGGGGTGTCGCTTGGCCTAGATTGGTCAGAGTGATGTAGTTTTGTGTCTGTTTTTTGTTTCTGTTGATATACAAAAAAAAAAAAAAAGGTTGCACACTAGCTTGGCCCAGAGGGCCTACCTGCCCCGCCTGACAACACATTTTTATAATTAAATTATAATTCCATTATTCTTCTTTTATAATTAAATTTCTAATTTAAATTTCAATTTACGTAAATACAAATTTATAAAATTCTAAATATTAACGACACAAATCTTTGCAAAAAAATAATTTTTTATTATTATTTTGTAAATCAAATTGTAGTAAATAAAAGTTCATCTCTGAGATAAAATATAAAAACCTAGACTTAACTATAAGAGCTTTTTTTGTGGATAAATATAAAAATCTATTACAAGCTAATAGTTAGAGGTGGCAAACTGGGCTCGACCCGAAGGGCCAGCCCACCAACATATTTTTATAATTAAATTAAAATCTCATCCTTCTTCTTTTATAATTAAATTCCTAAATTTGATTTTAATTTTTGTAAATACAAATTTGTAAAATTTCAAATACAAACGACACAAATCCTTGCAAAAAATAATTATTTATTATTATTTTTAAATATGATTGTAATAAATGAAAGTCTATCTCTGAAATAAAATATAAAAATCTAAATGTGACTATGGCGTATTTAAATTTTACATAACTCATCGAGTAGCTAACTATATTTGATTTGTATAATATTGATCACTGAATAACAAATTTTTGTTTATGGTTGATATTTCTAAAGTTTTGTGTTAATGCTGTAATTTTTTTCACCTAAAATATAGAACAAGATAGCAACACATTTTTTTTTGTAAGAATAAAGTTTGCAGTGTAATTAACCAACCACAACGGACGACAAAAAATATGATCTTTTTCTCCCGTGCATCGCACAGATAATACACTAGTATATATATATATATATATATATATATATATATATATATATATATAGAGGCAGGATCCTTTGACACCGGTGTCAAAGAAAAAGTTTGACACCTCATATGATAGCCGTTTGATCAAAAAAGATCAACGACTTTGATTTGTAAACATGTGACACCATTATTTTTTTTAATCTAATGGTTCTCAGATGAGGTGTCAAACTTTTTCTTTGACACCGGTGTCAATGGATCCTGCCTCATATATATATATATATATATATATATATATATATATGAGGTAGGTTATACTTACAACTTTTTTTTTTACAACTTCTTACAACCATATCTTAATACCGTTGATTTCCGCCAATCAACTGTTATCATTATTAATTCACAATAAATGATAACCGTTGATTGGCGGAAATCAACGGTGTTAAGATAGGATTGTAAGAGGTTGTAAAAAAAAAGTTGTAAATATAACCTTTCTCGTTTTAAAAATGGGCTCGAACAGGCCGGTTCAACCCGATTTCCGGTGAACCGGACTTGTGAGCGGTTCGAGTTACGCATCATATCGGTTGTGCATCTAAACCGGTAAAAACCGGATCAACTCGGCGGGTTTGACTAAAAACCGGAGACCCGCAAAAGCAAACGATAATCATTCGCCAAAACGCAAAAGCAAAAGCGCAATGGATGAAATTGAAGATAAAATGAGCGAGAAGAGAATAATAACGAACTCGGATTCCGGTGGCCGTCGTCAGAGACTTTGATGTGCAACAAACAACCTTCAATTTCGTAGGAAAAGTAGGAAACATCGTCGAAAGTGGTCCTTCCATTCCAGCATTATTCAGGTATACTTCACATCTCATTGAATTATGGGTATTTGGGTAGTCATTTTTAAATGCAAATGCTCAGTTCCTGAAGATTATGTGTTAAATTTATACTTTACCTCTCTTTTTTAGTTCTAATAGCATCAGTTTTTTTTTTTTTTTTTTTAGTTGAGCACACTCAGTGCTCGCCATGTGTTTGATGAAACAATTCAACTACAGCACATCTACAACACTCTTAGGTTTTGATTGGTTACTGAGGTTCTATGAATTTTTTTTATCTTTGGTTTTCCTTCACAAAATAGAGTTCGTCACCTTAGTATCTATATTTTCAGTTACTTCTTGCTTCCTTAATCCATAGATAGTTCCATTTCCTCTGTCACATTTCTGTGGTTGTTCTCCACCAGTTCAATCTATATATAACTAGTAATATATTTATATTTTCTTAATATGTGAACAGTATATCTGGTTGAACCCGGTTCAACCCGGTTGAACCAATAACCCAGTGACCCAGTACCTCGACCGAGTCGATGACCGGTCCGAATTTTAAAACACTGGTAAGAATATCTCTCCTCCATTTAAAAAACCGGTTTTATGTCAAACTATTTTTTATTTTTTATATCCGTTTGGTTACCGATAAAAAAAAACTTGCAATAATGGATATCCATTTGTTTTGGTCTTACACTGTTGTTATTTACTCCAAGGAGTAGTAGAGGAGAAATTTTTTTTATCCAGCAATCTTAATTTTTCAAAAATACGATTTTTACACTCAGTTTACGATAATATTCAAAAATTTAAAATTTAAAAAAATTCAGTTTTCAAAATTCTATAAAAACCGTCGTACCAAACACCCCCCAAGTGACGCCGTGAGAGGGAGCATCGTCGTGAACATGTATAATTTTGAACCCTATGTTCAATTTTCCAATTTCTCCCTTTTCTGGTTGCAAAAGGCTCAACCCTCTTCTCTAGTTCTCTTCTTCGATTTTGAAGGGAAAATTCATCCCAATCCCAACCAAATTGGGGTTTTTGCTTTGAAGGACCCTTCTTTGCTTATTTGGTGACTTTATTGTAGGTATTTTCTCTTTCTTTTCGTTTGATTCATCGATTTGTTTTGCTGCAAAGAAGTTTGATTTTTTCCTCCCTCTATAGGATCACAATTGCTCATTTCTGTGGTGCCGATCACAGGTTTCTTTCAAAACTTGGGTAATTTATCTGTTTCTTCTCACTCTACATGATTAGAAATTCTGTGAATGCTTAAATGACTTGCTTGCTTCTTTCTTTGTTAACTTTCTGATGTTCAGTTGGTTTTGTTTTAGTATGTTCTTTGCTCCCTAATGTTATTTACGATCTTATGGGGTCTCTAAGTGATTTTGTTGGTCTTGGATCCTCTGTTCATAACTTGGGGCTTGGTTAGTTTTCTCATTAATTTTGCTGATATTCCTGGCAAATTTTCCTGAAACATGCCTTTTACTCTTTGATGAGGGGTCCATGATCGAATCTTTCTTACAATCATCATTGAATTGGTTTTTTACGGAAACATAATATACCAGTTTCAGTTCCGAGATTTAATGCTTCTTAAGTATTTCATTCACTGATAAAGTTGAAGGCTTTTTCTGATAGTTTTGATTGCTCTGGAAGTGATGTTCACGTCCATCCAGGCGATGCATAAAAAAGTTTAAGCAATAACATAAAAAGAAATTTTGTTGACTTGTGTATGTCCTTGACATTTATGGTCTTTGGTCTGTGTGAAGGGTGTTTTCTTTTAATTTTCTTGAATTCTTTTGAGTCTCTATTTGAGCTTCATCAGATATAAAGTTTAGTTGCTGTTTTTACAATAGCAAATAAAGGATAGCTTTATTTTCTTTTTCTTTTCACTGAGCATATCTTTATAAGGAACAAGAAGAAATGGGCACTTTTCTCTGCCTAGTTTCTAGGAGTAGTAGATGAAGATCATTGTTACGGGTCTGACCTTATAACTAGTGATGCTTTCATCCCACATAGACAGACCCACATAAAATGCCTTCATCTAATGTTCATTATTTCATGCTTCTTTAATGTGCTTGTAATGTTTGGTTACACTTTTGAATCTTTCAATGCAAATTCTGTCTGTCCCTTCCCTCTCTAGTTTTGGTTAATGAAGTTTCCCCTGTTTTGACAAATTTACTCAAACAAACTAGTACTGCTGCTATATATTTCCTAAATCTATGCACCAAAAAAGGAAGCAACAAAATCTTGCAAGATAATGTTAGTATATGATATGAAACTTACTATTACTGTTCCTTTGGGGATTTTGATATTCTATATCTTGGATCTAATTTAAATTGGATGATGGCACAATGTATTTTATTTTATTTTAACAAAAATAATAAAGGTATCTTTTATTTTATTTCAAAAAAAAAATAGCACATTCATCAAAAACCGGTTTTGAAGTTATTATAAAACCGGTTTTAAACTTGATAACCGGTTTATGGTTCATAATCGGTTTTGAATTAAAACCGATTTTGATTGATTTTAAATCAAAACTGGTTATGAACCATAAACCGGTTTTGAAACCAGTTTCAAACCAGTTTGGATAAACAAAAACTGGTTTTAAAAAAAAAAACCAGTTCGGTTTGAAAACCAAACCATTTAAAACCGGTTCGGTTGGGATTTCGTCAAAACCGGTTATGAACCGCTCCATGCACACCCCTATTAATATATATATACATGTCTCTCTCTCTCTATCTATATATCTCTCTCTCTTTCTCTCTCTCTCTCTCTCTCTCTATATATATATATATATATATATATATATATATGTCTGTCAGTCTGTGTGTGTGTGAACAAATGCTACTGTATTAATTTTCCTTTTAACTGTTATGTGAGAGACTGAGAGTGTCTATGTTAGTTCTTTATCTAAATAGGTGGATGATTTTGTATCTGTTATTATTCTCTTCTTTATGTATTCAACTTTCATTGGTTGATTGTTCTGACAACTTACAGCTTCAGTCTTGAGAAATTGATGGGCCACCTTCTGAATCTACTCCATGGAACAGTTTTGTTAAACAATTTCTGCTTCTTTGACTGCCCTAAATTGCTCAAACAAAAAAAATGTTCCTATAATGGAAAAGTTTCAAAATTTCAGAAATATAATGGTGCCTCACTTGCTCTGCAAGGTTGTTTTACTTAAGGGAACTTTTTTTATTTATTTTAAGTTTTAAATTTTTCTTAAGCCTTATAAGGTTGTTTTGTTTTATGTTGTTTCTGACAGGCAATGGGGAGTTTGGGGATCATGTTGCTAGCTCGTTTAACCATAAGGTACTATATTGTCTATGTCCCTTTTGTGCTACAATCTTATGTTTTTATAATTCACCATTGTAAAATTCAGTTCCTTATAATATGTGCTTGAACTTGATTTCATATTTTTTGAAATTTAATACAATAAGCATGCTTCTGGAGAAGTGCCAGAATTTTCTTTGCTCTGATAAATGATAACACTTAAGAAGGAAAAGAGAGAGAATGAAAGAGGGTGGAAGACATAGAGAAAGCAAATGCATTGAGTCTGGTCATTATGACTTCTATTTGGTGCTCTACTCATGAGTATCTCAAGAGGATTTCTGTGGCTGATGTTAAAGAAATTGGACAGCTTTGTTGTATTTTTGAGAACTTTAGTTTCCTCGTTTCTTCATATCTTTTTCTTTTAGGATTAGGAGGAAATCTTATTGTCACCCAAATGCATTTTCTCCTCTTTCTTACCAAATCTCCTGAAAGTTTAAGCACAACCCCATCATACCTTGTGTTGAAATTTAACTCAATTATGAAGGGCAAGGGTGGCATGGATCTAATTCCTGACCCTTAGGTCATAAAAGCTTTGATAGTATGTCAAGGACTTAAAATTTCTTCAAAGCTTAAGCTGATGGATGTATATCTAAGATGACACCTTATGCAAAAGCCCTTTGGAGTTTGGACTCAAAGTGTGGACAAAGTACATTCCTTGTGTTGAAACTCACTTTAATTATTAAGAACAAAGGAGCTAGGAATGAACTCCTGAGTTCTAATCACTTGGTCGCAAAGGTTTTGATACCACATGAAGGACCAGCTGTTCCAAAACTGTAGGTTGTTAGGTGCATGCCCAAGAATGATTTTATATCTCTAATACTTTCTAATATACTATTTCAAAAAAAAGTCGTGCCTGATGGTTATTGGCACTAATGTAGAAATAAATATGCTTTGGTTGTTTGGATATCAAGTTTTCCATTATGTGTTGTTTGAGTGTTGTGATTCTTTTTGTCTTAAATTCTTAAAGTCAAATATCAATTAGATAAAATCAGAGACCATTAATATCATATAGTATAACCAATTAGAATATATGTTATTGGTTGTATATCAAATAATGGTTGTTGTAATCTTACTTGAAAGAATGTGTTATTGGCTGTATATTTCATTGTGGCTCTAAAGATTATGGTTTTGCTGTTAGATTTACGTTAGCAATGGAGGAGAGTTGAATGATATTCCTCATATACAAAATCTTAGAGAATTTCCTAGGGAGGAGCTTTTTGGAAAAGTTGTCATGGTTAGATTTGATTCTAACATATTGCTCAAGCAAAAGAGTTACCAGGAGAGTCAATCAGTTTTTAATGCACTATTTACAATTAAATATTTATATGAAGCCGGAGCGAAGGTGATCCTGGTCAGTGATTGGAATATGAATACTTCACAACTTCTTCAGACAGAGTCAATTGCAGGTACATTCTTATAGGCTATCTTGCAATCCTTGGGTTTAGTTGTCTCTGTGAAGTTTAGCTATTATGTGAATTGTTTATAGCAATTCTAGTTAATTTAAGGGGGGGAAAGACAAAAGAAAATTACTTGATATTGAAGCGCAAAGTTGTAATCATTATGGGCAATGAAATTAACAAATGGTTTCTATTATATAAGGAAGCTTCAGTATTAGATAATTGATGGTCCTCTATATTATAGATTTCTTATCAGCAGTTCTTCAAATACAAGTTGTTCCAGTGCAAGGCATTTCTTGCAACAAGCTATCAAAGATGAAAGGCCTCAAGAAAGAAAATATCTATCTTCTTGAGAACCTTTCTAATATTAAAGAGGAAGTTGCCAATTGTTTGGAGTTTGCTAGAGTATTATCATCAGCAATTGATATTTTTGTCAATGACTCCTTCTCCAACTCTCATAGAGTTCTAGCATCAACTGTTGGTGTTACTCGTTTCTGCTGTGCCTGTCTAGCTGGTTTTCACTTTGAGGAGAGGCTTTGTCTACTGAAGAATGTTGCAGAAGCTAGCAGGAAACCATATGCAGCAATTGTATGTCTCTACTTCTGATATAGCATTGGTTATGAGAAATAACTCTTCCATTCAAGACGGCCTTAAGTTTTTCTATCGATAAATTTATTCACTGTTTGTTTCTCATACAATCCAGATTGGAGGAGGTAATCTCTATGATAAAGCAGCTTCCTTTCAGTTTTTATCTTCCAGATGCCAGGGGTTCATTTTTGTTGGAATGATGTCATTTCAAGTAATGCATGCATTAGGAGTACCAATTCCTCTTAATTTGGTGGACCACAATGCATTTAATAAAGCTCTAGATATAGTGAGACTTGCTCGAGATAGAAATGTACAGATTCTGTATCCAAAAGATTTTTGGTGCAGGAATAAATGTGATCCAAAGCAATTGCAAGTATTTGCTTCGCATGGAATTTTAGATGGTGAGTTTTTATTCAAATCGGTAACGGGGTTGGGATATTTAGATATTAAGTCAGACATTATTTATTCTGTAAATAAAATTGATCCAGATTTGATTTTGATCTAGGTTGGGTGCCTGTTGACCTTGGACCTGTATCATTGGATGAAATAGATTCTATGCTTCCAAATTTTAAGGTACAATATCAATTTATTTATGCCTAGAATTTAAGCATAAGCTACTGTTGATTTAATTTCTTAATATGTTTCAAAACATCTTCTGATGACTATCAACATTTGGGTTGAATTATCTTTGTGTTCTAAGGATAGGTAATCTTTTTAGATTAGCATTTCATGCCTGCATCTTATCTGCTAATTTCAGTTCAAATTTGTGCATTTAATAAATATCATGCAATGGCTATTATAGAAAGTTTGAATGATGGAACCAGTTTTTCCATTAAAACTAAAAGAAAAAAAACGTACAATAAATAGACACCAGAAATATTCCAGTGCAACAAATCCCTATAATCAGGGAAAGAGATAAAACTAGAAAACTGAATCCATTTTAACTAAACAGGAAAAATATCAGAAACAAACTAATCCTAGGAATTTAAATAACAAATAACGAAACAAACTCCTAAGATTAAGGAGGAAAAATAAAACATTCTAGATGCTGAAAACTAGGGATTGCAACACTCCCCCTCAAGATGGGTGGTAGATGTCCAGCATTCCCAGCTTGGAAATTAGTCCTTCAAATTTAATTCTTGATAAAGACTTGGTTAAGATATCAGCAATCTGGGACCCTGTGGAAATGTGACTTAGATCAATAATATTTGCATCAATTTTTTCCTTGATGAAATTTCTATCAAGTTCAACATGCTTAGTACGGTCATGATGGATTGGATTATTGACAATTCCAATGGTGGCCATGTTATCACAGAAAATCTTCATAGGATCCTTGTATTCGAGGTGTAGCTCCTTTAGGACTCTTAAAATCCACATTCCCTCACAAGTGCCTAAGGACAATGCCCTGTATTCGGCTTCAGCACTGCTTCTGGCTACCACAGACTGTTTTTTACTCCTCCAAGTGACCAAATTTCCCCACACATATGAGCAATAGCCTGTGGTTGATCTTCGATCGATAATGGATCCTGCCCAATCAGCGTCCGTGTAAATCACAATATCACGGCTGGAATTTTTCTTGAAGAACAATCCTTTACCAGGAGTCATCTTTAAGTATCGTAGGATTCTGTAGACGGCTTCCAAGTGCTCTTCATTTGGGCTGTTCATAAATTGACTGACCACACTCACAGGGAAACTAATATCAGGCCTAGTGTGGGCTAAATAAATGAGTTTTCCAACTAGTCTTTGATATCTCTCAGTGTCTACCGAAGCACATTCTTGTTTGAGTCCTATCTTGTAGTTCGCCTCCATTGGTGTATCAGAAGGTTTACATCCCAACATCCCTGTTTCATTCAGCAGATCAAGAGTATATTTTCTTTGAGAAACTGAAATTCCTTCCTTAGTTCTTGCCACTTCCATTCCAAGAAAATATCGTAATTTTCCAAGGTCCTTGACCTCAAATTTGTGAGCTAACGTCTCTTTTAATTGCTTTATCTCATCCTCCCAATTACCAGTAATCACAATATCATCAACATAGACAATTAATATTGTAATTTTCTGATGAGGTGCAGTTTTAACAAACATAGTATGATCAGTTTGACATTGGGAGTACCCTTGATTTTTGACAACTGCAGTAAACTTATCAAACCAAGCCCTTGGAGATTGCTTCAAACCATAAAGGGATTTTAATAATCTACATACCTTTCGAGATCCTTGACCATCTTCCACTCCTTGGGGAATTTCCATGTAAACCTCTTCTTCTAAGTCACCATTTAAGAATGCATTCTTCACATCCATTTGCCAAAGGGGCCAATCTAGGCAAGCAGCAATGGACAAAAGAATTTTAATTGAATTAAATTTTGCTACTGGAGCAAAGGTTTCCTGGTAATCAATGCCCTGTGTCTGAGTGAATCCTTTGGCCACAAGTCTTGCTTTATGGCGATTAATACTCCCATCTTCATTATATTTGATGGTAAAAATCCACTTACAGCCAACCACTGATTTTCCTTGTGGTAAGGTAACTATCTCCCAAGTGCCATTTTTTTTGAGTGCATGCAATTCATCCTGGATAGCAGAACACCATTCAGTAGTCTTAGATGCCTCAAAGTAGGATGTAGGAATGGTTTCCTTGTCAATGTTCTTGACTAGATGCTGCATCCTGGAGGAAAGATTAGCATAGGATATAAAATTACAGATGGAATGACTTGTACATGTCCTTACCCCCTTACGAAGTGCAATTGGCATGTGCAGAGCATCATCAGAACTTGGCAGCAAGGATTCAGTTTGGTCAAGTGCAGGACTAATGGTTTCTTCAGTTGGACCAGGAGCCAAGGTAATCTGTTTGTCAACATGTTCAAGCATCTCAGAAGCTGTTCTGTATTTGGGCCGTCGCGTGTAGACTTGCAGGGGCTGCTGTTCAGGCGGTTTCTGGAGCGGGCCGGAAGAGGATAAGCCATTAGATGAAGTGTCATTTTCCTGAGATTCACCTAAGACCGGTGTAGGGGCTGTTGAAGCAGAGTTTTCTGGAGTATTAGTCACAAACAACCATTCCTTGGAATTAGGGATCTCCCCCTGAATGGCGGTTTGGGAAAAATAAGGCTGATGTTCAAAAAAGGTGACATCTTTAGTAATGTAGAATCGATGTGTGGCTGGACTGAAGCATTTATACCCCTTCTGAGTAGGGGAATAGCCAAGAAAGATGCCCTTAAGAGCCCGAGGATCCAATTTACCACCTTGAGAGTTATGAATGAACACGGTGCAACCAAAAATTTTTGGTGGGAGATTTGGGGTTAAGGTCAATGAAGGGAATGCAGTGAGGAGTGTTTGGTAAGGTGAGGAGAAGTGTAATACCCGAGATGGCATGCGGTTGATAAGGTAAGTGGCTGTAAGAATAGCTTCCCCCCAATAATTTTTGGATGTATTTGAGGCAAAGAGTAGGCTACGAGCAACTTCAAGTAAATGGCGATTTTTTCTCTCAGATACACCGTTTTGTTGTGGGGTATTGACACAAGAGCTCTGGTGGATGATGCCATGGTCTTTTAGGTAAGCTGAAAGGTCCAAGTTAAAATAATCACGTGCATTGTCAGATCTAAGGGTAAGGATTTGGGTTTGAAATTGGGCAAGGATCATTTTGTGAAAGACTTTAAAGGTGGATGTGACTTCAGATTTATTGGCTAATAGGTACACCCATGTCATTCGAGTATGATCATCAATAAATGTGACAAACCAACGAGCACCCGTAAGGCTTTTAACAGTTGCAGGTCCCCACACATCACTGTGGATAATGGCAAATGGTTTAGAAGGAACATGCATTTGTAAGGGATAATGAGACCGAGTTTGTTTTGCAAGTTGACATATATCACATGAAGGAAAATTCGAATTCTCATTAAATAAAGAAGGGTACATCTTTTTCATATATTGAAAGTTTGGATGCCCTAATCTAAAATGCCATAAAAGAGCCTTATTCAAATTGCTAGTTGCTGCAAATGTGCTGTCTTGAGTCTTCATAACCGCGGCTGTGTAAAGTTGATATAAACCATTAGAGACCCTAGCACTGCCAATCGTCCTCCCCGATGCCAAATCCTGAAAAATACAATCAACGTGGGTAAATTTGACTGTGCACTTTAAATCCTTGGTCAATTTGGTAATAGAAATTAAATTGCAGGTAAGAGATGGAACGTAGAGAACTCCAGTTAAAGATATGGTTGACGATAGGTGAACAACACCAATTCCGTGAACCTTGGCTAAGCCTCCATTTGCTGTTTTTACTGATTTTGCCTCGAAAATGGGAAAGTATTCAGAAAGAAGAGAGGAATTACCAGTCATATGATCTGTAGCCCCAGAATCTACCATCCAGGAATCACATTTATCAAGATCGGATTGGAGAGCTGTATGGAATGTACCTGATTGATGACTATCAGATGAGGGATTAGATTTGTCCTTATTGCAATCTTGCAGCATGCGTTGTATGGCTATCACTTGTTCCCTTGTAAATGTATGGCCTTCGGATTTTGCTTGCGGAACATCTTCTACAACTGCAGCAACATGATTAAAGTCTCTGTTTTGTCTTGGCTTCCAATCAGCTGGCTTGCCATGGATTTTCCAGCATGTATCCTGAATATGCCCAGTTCTGTTGCAATGGTCACACCAGAGCTTACCATTTCGCCTAGGTCTGGAGTCTGCATTGTTGGGTCTAGAGACAAAGGCTGCTGCTTCCAAAGGTGCATCAACTTTTGGGATGCTATTGGTCAAAACTTTGCGGCTTTCTTCCCACTTTAATTCAGAAAAAACTTCTCGCAAGGATGGCAGAGGGCGAGTGGCCATGATGCGGCTGCGAGCTCCATCATAGATTGGATTGAGTCCCAAAAGAAGGTTGTAGGTGCGGTCTTGTTCAACAATTTTCTTATACTGAAGAGTATCGGCTGGAGTAGTCCATTCATGTTGATCATAAAGATCCAATTGTTGCCAGAATTTTAGGAGTGAATTATAATAGCTGGTGACATCCTTGTCCTCCTGTTTGAGATCACGAAGAATCCCCTTGATGTGAAACAAGGCAGCTCTGTTATCTTCCTTAGAGAAGGCTTCCTTCACGCCATCCCAAATTTCCTTGGCTGTGGAGCACAACATGTATGTTTCAGCTATTTCAGGCACCATGGAATTCAGCAACCAAGACATCACAAGGTTATTTTCAATGGACCACTTCTTGTATTGTGGATGACTGGTTTCCAGAGGAGCAGCATCACCCGTACCGGTGAGATGATCTCCCTTGCCACGGCCTCCAATGAACATACGAACGCTGCGTGACCACAACAAATAATTGTCTCCATTGAATCGATGACCAGTGATGACTAATGCTGGACTATCGTTGGTAATGACAGCTGCTGAGTTGTTGTTGGTTTGGTTTGATGCTGAAACATTGAGTGGGGTTGTTGTTGGAGTGGTATTTGTACCGGTGGTATTGGAAGAAGTAGTTTGGTAGGCTCTCATGGTGCCAAAGAGTGGCACATTGGTAGCCATGGGTGGATCAGTCCCTTAAAAATCAAGCTCTGATACCATATAGAAAGTTTGAATGATGGAACCATTTTTTCCATTAAAACTAAAAGAAAAAAAACGTACAATAAATAGACACCAGAAATATTCCAGTGCAACAAATCCCTATAATCAGGGAAAGAGATAAAACTAGAAAACTGAATCCTATTTTAACTAAACAGGAAAAATATCAGAAACAAACTAATCCTAGGAATTTAAATAACAAATAACGAAACAAACTCCTAAGATTAAGGAGGAAAAATAAAACATTCTAGATGCTGAAAACTAGGGATTGCAACAGCTATATATAATAGTTTTAAGATAATGGATTATTCATCCATTTTAAAATGTAGGCACCAACTAACATTTTTCTTTGAATCCACTACAGAAAATTATTTGGATTGGTCCAGTGAAATTTGTTGATTCAAGTAAATACACAAATGGGGCATCCAAATTGGCGAAAATTCTTGATCAACTAAGCCAAAGCAACTATGAAATAACTGTTGTTGGGACTATGGCATGCCAACTAGTGAGACAGGAGAAAAGTTCATTGTCCTTTATAAGTATGATTGAGAATGCTTCAGTTGTATGGGCATTTCTCAAAGGAAGAAAGCTCCCTGGTGTTATGGCTATCGACAAAGTATGTTTTAATAAACTCTATTTCTTTCTATTACTCTTCAACTTCATATTTCAGGAGAATAATGCAGTATATTCTGAAAAAAAAATTATTTTGCATAAACTATCTTGTATGCCTCTTATGCTTGATTGTATGGCTTTTGCCACTGGAATTTCTGGAAATAGACTCACTTTCTTGAGATTATATTCACCATCTGATGTGAGTTTTTTATGATAAAATAACATGGTCATCAAGTCCTTTATTTTAGATGCTATGAATTGGATCAAACCCAAATATGCAAATGATGTTCCTTAAAAGCAAAAACGTTTTTTCTGTTTAACGAAAAAATTTCTAAATTGGAAAGAATTTGGTGCACAAAATATTTTGACATGCATATTAAGTGATGAATGAAGCTGTAAAAACATGATCTTTTTCCATAGTATGTATAGCAATTCTTCTGGTTGATAAATGTAATTGACATTAAGGCATATGAGGAGCACAATATTAGCAATGTTGCATGAAAATAGTGTAATAATTAAAGTAATACCTGGATCAAGGGTAATTAAGTTGAGTCTCAATTTTCTAAAATAACATCAAATCAAGTACTTGTGTAAGCTATATGTATCTATTAATGCTGACGAACGAATCTGCCGGAACTTTTTTCACTTGGAACTTGGAAGAGCTGAGACCTTGTTTCATTTGTACATCATCATTCATACATGACAACACATACTGAATAAAATAAGAGAATTAATACAGCAAACTAAATTATAAGCATTTTTTTGTTTGGTGGTAAACAGCTAATGTTAGCATTTCATTTAATCATGCTGATAAATCTGATCTTGTGTTAAGCAACTCAAAAGTGCTAAAACATTCTGCATCAATGATATTATTGTCACTTATGGTAGTTATATTTTGCAGGCATACCCTTTTGAAATCAACTGGAACAACATTTATTCTGACCCAGCTCAACCTCTGGTTGTTGATATAGGAAGTGGTACTTTTTGTTTTTTACATATAGTGTCTACTGTGCGCATATCTTGTAAAACTGTGAAACTAGAAGCATATGATCTGCAAGTTATCAAGCAATATAAAATATATAAGCAGTTGATTTGAACATATTGTCATTGCATACATATTCTTTTAACCATAACATTGTTGTAGAAAAGACCCCGAGTTCTGTAATAGAAGATGATGGAGTGAGGGACTAGAAGACAGCAAAATAAATAGAACTTGTGGTATTGATTCTTTTTGACATATCAGCTCTAAATGATAGGCAATGGGCTTTTTCTTCTGGAAATGGCTAGAAGGAGGAAAGATTTAAACTTCCTTGGTTTGGAGATTAATGAAAAGGTTCCATAATTGTTATATCCCCTCCCTTGTATCCTTCTCTTTTTTACTACGTACCATGGTTCTTTATTTTTTTTAACTATTAACATCTTTTTCAGCTTGTTTTGCGCTGTCTGGATTCTACTCATCAGTTTGGCATAAAGAATGGGTAATTCTATTTCTTTCATAGTACAAATAGATGCAGCATCTGTTTGGTTTTTGTTTTGATTCAATAAAATGGAATTTATTCAAGTGATGGCACAAGAACATTCTGGACTTATTATAAGGGCATATTCAATTACGATCATATATAACTAATGTTTGAGTTCCTTCATTGTTGAAATTTTATTCTTTTGTTTAACTTTGTAAATTACTTTCCTGTTTTATACATTTCAGGTACTTTGTTGCTACTAATGCAACATCAACATTCCGCTCCATCGTTTCTTCTTACCCAGGAGAGTTAGTTCTTGTCTCAATACAGGTCAAGCTTAAATTTAGTTACACTTTTAATTCTAACATCCATTTCTTTTTTCATTTAAAGTCATCACTGATGTGCTTGGTATACTGAACTGTAGAAAATAGGCATAATCTTTAGAAGCCTTCTTGGTCATGTCCTGAGGCATTATGATGTGATTGATGGTGTTTTCTAGAATTCAGAATGGATGATTGCTGAAGCAGAAAATGCTTCCTCCCTTGCCCCTAAGGCCTAAGAACCAGCCCCAAAAGAAAATTATTATTTCAGGATTATATTCTTACAATGAATTTGAATAATGTTTATTCTTTGGATTGACTCATTAGCTTGTTCATTGTCTTTCTTTGTGTACCTTTGACTTGTCAAAACCCAAATTATTAAGTAGACACTGTTACTGAGACTTGGAAGTGACCTTGTAATTATATCAATTACCGAGAACTGTCTTCTGGATGGGAAGCATCATTTGCCAATTTAAAAGAATATATATTCGTTTCTTTAGTTTTTTTCCCATGGCATATCTTAACAAAAATACAAGAATTATGGCGATGACCAACTTATCCCACATCACTCTCCATGTCAATATAAAAAAAAAAGACACCAAGTTCAACTAACTGTCTATTAACACAAGCTCACCTTTCTTTCTGTTCTTAGACCTTTTGTTGGTCTTTTCTGTAGTGTTAATGCTGCCATATATACACCTACGGCGATGCCACTGCCACCATTGCACCAATGAATGAATTTGCAGAATGTTAGCCCTGCTATTAGTGACATAAGCTTTGTGGGTATCATTCATCCTTCGGTATTTTATACACACTATTATCACCAATAAGCAATTCCTTGAGCACAAATGGCTTATTAGCATACTGCAAGCTAGCTGCCATTTGCCTACAATTACCTCCTTACTTTTAGTGTTTGCTACTGACATTTTTCTTATGACATCACAACTAGTCTTTTGGCAAGACTGCCATTCATAGAAGCTTTGATCATTCCTTGTATATTGGAGTGAAATGTCGTGTTTTTTTTGGTTTATGATGATCACTAACTTGCAGACACTGAAACAACAACAGTGTTAAATCCATTGGTTGGTGAGAGAGATCCAGTAAAAGGGAGAGAATTCTACTTATACCTATTAAACATTCTTCTAATAATATTGCTAATGCTAATTTATTAAAACAAACATTTATGGCCTGATTTTTCTTTTTCCTCTCAATATTTTCTCGTAAAATTATTTAATGTCACAACCTTCCCAACTTGATTGGCAAACCTCTGAGCAAATCTTCTATCACAGTAACAAAATTTTACTGAAAGACATTAGCTGTAGGAGTCTCAACCTTGCTTATTACTTGTAGTAAATAAGCCAGTTTGAGTTTAATGTAATGTGTAATCAAATATTTTTTCTGTAATTCTTTTTTTTTCTCCATCAAATACTAATAAACCTTAATCTCATTTTTGGCTTTCTTTTCTTTAGTGTCCAAACCCTGATTTCAATAAACCTGAGCATAGATGGAGGATCCTGCAGAGATCTTTAATTGAAGCAGTAGTGGATCTTCTAGCATCTAATGGGAAGGTAAATATACTTTGGAGCAGCTTTACTTGATCAATGTGCAGTATATGGTTAGGTCCCTTCCATTTATCTTATAAAACATCATTGCTTGTCATATCTGAGTGGAGAGCAATAAACCTCATTGTAAAGGAAAATAGTTGTTTTCAGTATTATATTTATAGTTCCTTTCTCTGTGTAATGACACTTTATTGTGATGAGTAGTGACTTACTCCACTTACATTCTTTGAATAGTTTGAGTTATAAATATCAAGGCTTATTTAGATTATTGACAATAACCAGGTCTTTCTGCAATCTGATGTAGAAGCTGTAGCAATAAGAATGAAGGAACAATTCTTGAGATATGGGAAGGGTAAGCTTGATTTGGAGCATTGCCAAACTGTGTGGCTTGAGGAAAACCCATTTGGAGTTAGGTCAGATTGGGAAAAACATGTTCTAGAGCGTGGGGCCCCAATGTACAGGATGATGTTTTCTAAATCATATGATGATATTAGTGAAGTTTCAGTTGCAAATGATGTAATTCTGAAAGTTGGCTAGTCCATCAAACCTGCAAATTGTTACTGTTTTTGCAGAATCTATCACAACCAATGGTTTCTCCATGTTTTAGGTAATATGAGAATTACACAATACAGATATCTTTATGAAAATTATCTTTTATGATATTGATCAATTAATTCATCTGAAGTATTCATCCTGCTAGCATTGCAGGGTTGAACATCCTTACAATTTGGGGGATGAGGAGTGCAGAATTGTTGTTGATGTGGACAGCCAAAAATGTTCAGTAAGTGATTCCAAAGTCATTGTGCGTGCAATGTGCATATGATTCCTAATGTTCTAAGATATCCCCTCCAAGAATGCATGTAGAAGCCAACCAATGAAATTAAAATTGTGGGTCAGAGAGATGTCCAAAGTTAGTGTTGTGTATATTTGTAATGAAATTGTATAAGGCCTAGAAAATCAAAATTTCTATACATGGTATTATGATATTTCATGCCCATGCATTTTATTTTGGTTAAAAAGATACAAATTCGTGTAGGGAATGCTAAAACTAACGTCTAAACTTGACAAAAATACCAGCATTTTGGACATTGGTTTTGATTTGGACTGATAAAGCATAAATTTCCTTAGTATTTTCAAATTATATGAAATGTAAATTTGTGATTTATTTTACAATTAAAATTACATATATTTTGTTCCGTTGTCTTTTTAAGCTAGAGGTGTGCGACTCGTCTAAGCTCATCAAAATGTCTAGTTGTAATATACGTAAAACACCGAAACAAAAAAATGAGACTTATAACTGGCTAGACCTAATAATGCATCCTATCATATAAAATACCATTCAAATTAATCTTATCAAATGTTAAATTAACATGTAAATATGTCGACTTAACAGTAACTTTCTGTATGCTCGGTAATATAACGTAAAAATATATCAAAATCCATTGTACATTGATATAAAATAAAGATGCAAAAAGGTAAAGTGGGATTAAAAGGATATATCAATGCTGATTTGTTTGCCTTTACTCAAACAAGCTTATAAGTGTTAGTTAATTAATGTTAAATATGATGGGGATCATTTAGAGATGCAAAAATTAAGTATTATAAAGTATAGTGCTTAAACTAATCTATATGCACATATGCACATACGGTTGCATGGAACACACAAAAATCAAAAACAATGAGCGACGAAAAAAAGTGTGCATCGGGTTTACTTACTTAATACACTATTAATTAGTCAGTTATTTTTTATTTTTTCCCAAATATAATAAGAATTCCTGTGTTAAAATGCATACATTGGTTGATAATGCTTTGCTTGTAGGATAATTAATTTTACATTATTCACAATAACGTTAATACTTTTTTTTTGTACTTCAATAATGTTATTTTTAGAATACTTCTAAAACGTTACAAAGAATTATTTAGTTGTTTTTTGGTTAAATTATTCTTAATAGTATTGAAATGTGAGATTTCAAATTCCCGTAACATAACCAGTAACCACTACCCCTTATTTACATTATAAATTTCGCCAATGAACATACTGCATAGTACAAAACTTGTATAATAATAGAATTTGATATTACATCGACCAACCATGAAGGATACGATTCATTTTTATTTTTGCAGACTGAAAAGGAAGTTTGTTTTGGATAAGGCTATATGATTCCCGTTTGATTACCAATCTTACAGCATAGTATATATCACCTACATGTAATATGACACATGAACCAAATTCCAATCCACCCTTCTTGTGGCCACAATGGTATAGTATGTATTATAATAAAATAGTAGTGCTAATAAAGTTTTGCAGTCACATAAAGTTGACCTATAGGATCTCAGTGATACCCTTTTTCGCCACACAATGATTCTTTCCCTTTCCTAATGTCTGCTTCATATATTAGAATCAGTTGTGTTCTAGTAGTCAATTCGTCATTTGCCCCCGGACTTAATAAACCGAAGATTTGGAAATTGGTACATAATTTTGGTTTCAATGACCATTTAAGCATTAGATCAAAAATATGCAAACCTCCAAAAGTCAGGAATCATACCATACTCTAGATTAGGTTCAATCATTGCCACTTCAAAATGGACTTACAATATGTATTAAGATAATTAAATATGCAAGCAAATGCATAGGGTTAAACTTGCACTCCACCCCTTTTCATTCCTAAGGACCAAACATATAAACACAACTCCACACTGATCTTCTAAGAAGAAAAAGATAATGAATTGGGTGTTGGTGAATGTTTGAAATTTGCTATGATGACATGAGTTGTATATTCACTAAATTTTATGTTTTTTCTTTTTTCTTTTTACAAGGGAAAAATTCCCTCATGGCAAGTCCACGCATAGATGGGACATAGAAATGTATGGCTGGGGTGCCATCCCTAAACATAACTCGAACGACCATTCCATGGACCAAGAAATAATTGAACTCACCATCAAAACTCTTGATTCTCAATATAACCATGATGTCACTTCTAGGACACACAATAGCACCTAAGTTGACTATTTAGTTGACAACATAACAGTAGTACAACAAACAAAGTCAAGCATAAGATTACCCCAAAAGAATGCAATTTAAATTCAGGGCTGCATCAGGCACCCTCTAAATACTTTCTATATAGCCACAGAAAATTCTCTCTAATAATTTTAATGCTGTCTAGGGGAAGCAGCATCAAATAAAAATCTAGAAGTCAAAATTTTGGATATAGTAAAACAATATATGTAATGTTAATCGAAAAAAGAAGCAATAAAATAGTCTCCATTGAACCAAGCAATAATTCAGGCTTCTGTGATCGGATACTCAAATACTACATCTTTCCCGGTAAGCTTCCTGTAAACTCCAGAAAAAGTCTCCAGCTTGTACTCAGTGTTATTGCGCTCCTTGGGGTCCAAGAAAACCTTAAATTGATACATTGTCATCAAGAAACTTAGAAACAATTTATTAAAAAGAATCTAAATTAACGTCAACTTCACAGGCAGTTACCTTCATTATTTTTGACCCATCAATTCTATATCTGACCCGTTTGCCAACAATCTCTGCAGGATGCACAACATCCTCCAGCATGGCATCATGGACTGCAGTTAAAGTACGGGTTCGGGGACGCTGAACAGCAGAGCCTTTCTTAGGCGGCCGCACAATCCTTCTTGTGGCAATCACGACAACATCCTGTGATTTGGTACAATCCTCAGTTAATATAATTGGGTGACCCAGAAAACTGTGTAGCAAGCATGACATGGTAAACAAATACATTAGGAAAATACAAGCTAAGAGAAATCAAAGACACTTTAATTTCATATGAAGGTGCATTGCAGAACAAAAAACAACCTTCCCACTAAACTTCTTTTCCAACTCTCTGACAAGTCGAAGATGAATCTTGCGGAAAGCCTTCCTCAATCTGAAAGGGACATAGATGACTACAGCCTTGCGATTCCCAGACACATCCATTTGACTGCATGAAACAAGTTTGAATGGATGATGAGAAAGAAAGTTTTGGTGACAAAACATACATCAATTCATCATTCATAACACCCTTACATTGCTTGATTGATATAGAGATCTTTCAAGTCACTTTTCAGATCCTGATTGGTATTCTCCAAGTCAAATAAGTACTGCACAAAGGCATCAATCAAATTGCTGAGTTTCAATAAAGAGAATAGTAGTGAGTTCATAAAAATAGGCTTATTCTCCCAAAACATAGATCGCAATAATAACCTGTGCAACAGTCTCTTCAAATTCAGTGGGTTCAGCATCCTTATCCTTGTGGATTTTCTTCCTCGAAGTGTACATTTTGATCAATCTGTTTCATGACATAACATCCACTAATCAGAACCTAAGTAAAAATAAGAAATCACAATGAATACAACAACAAAAACTAACATATCACAAACTAGTTGGGGTTGGATGAACCCATATAATAAATAATATCAATAAAAACAGAAAAAAATAAAAAAAATAAAATAAAATAAAGTAAAGAATACCTTCTACGAAATGCTATTAAAAGCAACTCAAATCAATATTCATAGGGTTAGAAGGGTCAAGAAAAAAAAAATAGCATAATACTAAGCATGCCGAAATCATAAGGAAAAAAAAAATGAACAAAATAAAATAAAATAAAGCTTCTAGATTTCAGACTCGTAATTATTCAATTAAACCTTGAAGGAATACATATTGATGCTGACTTACATTTTCTTAACAAAGATATAGACCAAATGTTCCCGTTCTTAGTTTCAATAAACGAGAGTTAAGTGCAATCGATTAAAATAAGTCCTACATTGCTGAAATAAATAAATAAATACAAAAACTCATTTAAATTCAAAAAAAAAGTTATAAGAAAAACTCATTTTGAGGGAATATTGGGACGATTATGAATTGGAAAACAAATAATATATAGAAATAGAAGAATGGGAATTGCGTCGAAATTGTTGCTGCACAAAAACCAAGTGAGAGAAAATTGGAGAAAGCATATGATATACCCAATAATCGAAGTGAGTGAAATTGATGAAAAAAAGCAGCTTTTAGTAGAGAGTGAGTTAAATACCAAATGGAGTGAGGAACCCTTCAGCTTCAGCGCCAGAGAGCTAGAGAGGAAGGAGGCGCAGACAAGAGGATAACAAATAGGGTTCAGGTTGCCCTAATTTTGCACGCAAAAATTTTTATATTACCTTTTTTCTTAAATCATAAAAAAATTAAAAAAAAAAAAAAACATATTTCAACAATTTTTTTTCCCGAGGTATTTGAACATAATTTTTTTGGCTGCCTATGACAATAAATAATATATATTTATGATCAATCCAATCCCACTAATTTATGGATTAAAGAAGACACCCACAAAAATCAATGGGCTAACTAATAAAAAGAAAATAAAAATTATAAATGAACTGCTTGATCCAATATTAACTAATAACTGGACACTGGATGAGATACTGAGTTATTAGTTGAACCCATGATTATAAAAGTAATAAAATATATCATAGGAATATTTGACATAGTAATAAATTATTCAATACAATGTGGCTTGGGTTCAACCCTTGTTGGGTGCCAAAAACTAGTTCAACCAGTGAACTGACCTGTGTTTTCACTAGTTGAACCCGGGTCACTGGTTCGTCACTGTCTCAGAAACATGTCTATGTTATATGATAATTTAATAAATAATGCATTATCGCTTCCTTGAAATAAGTTATTTCATTTATTCCTACATTATCATATAAATATACCTATCTCACAAAAATCAAATGACAATCCATTGGCGGATATGAATTTGTGCAAGTGCACACACAAATTTTTAGAGAAAAAAAAGAATAAAATATATTTTGGATCCTTAACAAAAATTACGGGATCTAATTTAATCTCTTAAAAAAAATCGACTCGTGATTCCTATGAATTCCAAAATTAATCCATGTTAGTCCTATTGAGAGACTAATGTGGGTCTTCTTTGAAATTTAAAGGGACCATGATTTCGACTAACTGTGTCTATTTTGGAATTCAGAAAGCCCACGAGTGATTGAATTGGCCCCATGATTTTTATTCAGGATCGAAAATGTTCTATTGTAACAACTTAGTTGTCTTTTAATTACTATTTTTTTAATGTTAAGTTGAAGTTTTTTCTTTTCTTTTCTTGTTTATATTCTTTTGTATTTAATGTATTTAAAACTTTTTTAAAAAAAAAATCGGGAACATTATCCTCAAACTCTCGCCTCTAAGTATGCAGACATAAGTAAAATTTTATGAGTCCGCCGTTGTGACAATCCATCAATATTTCATGATTAGGCAAGGTTCATTAGAAATACGTGAAATTATGAAGGTTTATAGCCATATTATTATGAAGGTTTATCTTAATTATACGTGTTAAGTATTAGATACAATTTTGCATATTTGCTTCACGGATTTAGGTATTATATTATAAGGGCTATATTTTCTTCTGCCATAGAAGATATCACTTTTTCCTGCACACTCATGGAAAATCGTGTTAACAATTTTTTCTTTTTATTTTATAAAATTGTGGGACCTACTTAAAAAAAATGTATCTAATGCATAAGAGAACAATTTTCCAGTGACAGAAGAATATGATTTCCTTATGTTATATTTTCTTTACACATTCCTTATTTTAAGAATAATAGAAAGATATGTTATAAAATTATGGATTAAAATTTAATACTAATAATACCTAAATAAAAATACTCTTAATTTCCTTGCTTTAATCTTCTTCCTTTTTTAGAGCTTTTCCATTTTTTAAATGATACTAAACTCTTTTTTCAGTCCTCTCTTCTATGTCAAAAGAAACATGTTATGACCTTGTTATAAAGATTTATATTCTAGAAGGATCAATAAGGACAAATAACTAAGAAAGGAAAGATTTCCAAAAAGATACAAGTTCTAGTGTGACAAAAAGATACATTCTCCAAGTAATAGTTTTTAGTTTTCATTTACGACATATGAAATTGTGTTATTTATGCTCTTATATCAAAAGAATGAAAGTCTAATTTGTTTGTTATATATTAAATTAAAACCTTTTTTGTAGTGATTAAATTTTATTATTTATTTTTTACAGAACCATAAATGTCATTTTTTATTTTTTATTAAAATTTAAAATTTAAATTCATTTATTTTCTTTGTGTATATTTTTTTATATTTGTAACAAAAATATAATGAACAAATATGGGTTGATACAAAAGAATATTCTACTAAATAGAATATTTGATGAATTGAATTGAACTACATTTAATATAATAAAATATTTTATATTTAAACAAAAATATAATTAAAAGTATATATATATATATATATATATATATATATATATATATTGGTCTTTAGAAAAAAACGTAATTAGAATACTCTGTTTAATCAAATTTCATTTTTTGATAATTTCATTTTTTTTATACTCTTTTCCCACCTATCAAGTTTTAAATTCAAATTTGAAAAGTTTGAATTATAAACATTAAATATTTTCCCCCCAATAGATATAATAAATAATATTATTAATAGATTTAACAATTTTCCATGCAAAAGATAATAAGAAACATTAAAATAGTCTGTAAAATACTTAATGGCAAACATCTTTTTACGATGCCAGAGTTGGATGGTTAGTGGTCACTGAATGATCATTCATTTTTATAATGATTAAATTTTTATATTTTAATTTATACAGAATGATAGATTTAATTTTTTATTAATTATACATATTATTCGAAAAATTATGTTTTTTATCTTTTAATTTATAATTTTTAGATTAGATATACTTATATATATATTCATAATATTTATGTTAATTGTTTTTTAAGAAAATACTTGTACGGATTTTTTTCTCTTTTGGTATTAAATTTTTAAGTTCATTTATTTATTTATTTTCTTTTATAGTATAAATGTGTCATTTTTTATTTGTTTTTTGCATTTAAATTTAATATTTATTTTATATTTTAAAAACTATGCATATATTTTTATAATTTTAAATATTTTTTCATTTGATCTATAATTTTATATTAAACTTAAATTTATTATATATATATATTTATCTTTGCTCTTTAGAAACATTAATTGTTGAATAAATGCTAAACATTAAATTAAAATTGAAATTTATTATTATATATAGGTGAAATTTTATTATTATAATATATGATCATTTTTAATTGATCAAAAAAATTAGCCCAAATAACATAATAATAAAAATTATTAAACGTAACCATAAGAATATATTTTCCAATAAATGTATAATAAGCACAAAGGATTCATTCAAATCTGGTCAGTTAGATTCATCGTAGCTTATTGAACCATAGCTTATCAAGACTACGCATTTGAAGTTTTGATAATAGCAATCACTAACAAAGCACCAAGAAGCTTAACATGAATGAACAACATGGAAAGAAGTGCAACAAGTCCCAAATGGTACTAGAAGACCAAGATAAAGTGCAAAAATAAAAAGACTACTCAAATGTACAAAGTCAAACTCAAAGTCAAAGGACACATATCCCTGTACGTTGTTCTACCTACTTTTTTTATGCCTACCTTACTTACCACTCTCCAACACTGTTATATCATAATCTCAACTAACCTTTATTGTTTCTCTCTTCTCTTAAGATTATGATCTAAGAATATTGGAGAGTGATAGATAAGGTAGGCATAAAAAAATGTAGGTAGAATAATCTATCTCTATAAAATATGATTTTTATAGCTTGAAAATATATTTTTCTCTTAATGAACTCAATCCTAATATTTTATTTATTTAATATAACATAAATTAGTGTGAATAGAAATATATTTATATTGCTTAAATTTAAACTTGACTATTATAATTATAAGCTTAAATTTTTTATTTATTTATTAAAATTTATTGATTCAAGTGATCGGAAAATTTTAAAAATCAAACTTTAAAAATAAAAAATATAACCGTGTACAAGGAATGTCTCTAGTTTAATTCGTAGGTGGATTAGTAGAAAATATCTTATATGCAATGAGCGGAATTAATTTTATCCAAATAAATAGAAAAATCTCTGAAAAAATAAAATATAATTATTTGAAGAAATTTACCTCTACATAAATTGAGCTGACTTAGTTAATTCTAATCCACTGGTTAAAAGATATAATTATTCAGTGATATAGTAATATACTAAAAGGAGTAATTTATACTCATGATTATGATTAAACTCATATAAGTTAATAAATTTCAAAGTAATTGTTTTCTTATTTTTTAAAACTTGTCATGGTTATTAAGATAAAAATTTTTTTTGTCATAAATTGGAATGAGGGCCCAACAATTTATGGTACATGGTTGGGCCCATATTTCTATGAACCCAAAAAGCAAGGAACTGAAAAAACTTGAGGAAGAAGAGTGTGTGAATGTGACTTGTGACTGAACATGAAGAAGAAGAAATCAGCCATGGATTTGTGATTTGAGCTTCGCTTACTTTGATTTCAATCCTCACACTCTTCACTCTTTGCTACCTCCATTCCTAACTGCTTCTCACAATGATGTCACCGAACCAATTCTCAGAGGATCGAGGGTCTCCTCCTCATCATTTCAGGTAAACCCAAAATAAAAACAAAAAAAAATCCCCTTTTTCCGAATAATTTAGTCATAATCATTTCTGGGTATGGCCCATTTTTTAGCCTCGGTTCAAATTAATGGAAAAAAAGTTTTTTTTTTTTTTTAAATCTTTTGAATGGTTTAGTTTCTAATTTTCTTTCCTGTTTCAATTGAAGTGTGCCAATGCTTTTTCTGATTCCTTGAAGCAGTAATCCTAATTTTTCAAGCAAAATTTACTCTGTTGTCTAGTATCTATTAAGTTTAGTGGGAGAGTTATATAAGGTAATATGTGAAAAATAATCTTAAAGGTTGAGATTTAATCTTTAATTTATTCAATAGTATTTGTAATGTAATCCAATGGCATGTATGGTTGTATTGTTCACATGTTATGCTTTTAGTAGTTGTGCATATTTGGTGACCGTGTGCTATACCATACTTATTAGTGATTGATTATTTATATGCTGAGATTTTTGTAGAAGAGGGTTGTATATTTGAAAGTTTTGACTTGGTTTGTTCTTATTGTGCTGATTATTTTTTTCCCTTTGTAGAAATACACCCTTGCAGATAATTCATATTGTTGCAAATTTCATGAGGATATGGTCAATATACTCAATGTACCGATACTTATCCCAGACTGGAGCTTCTGTTGTTCTTTTTCTGTTCGCCTGCCTAGCCCCGGCATCGATCCTGTTTTTGGTTCTGCAAAAGCCTTGGAAGGGCAGGCCACTTTCTAATACACAGGTAAATTTAATTTCTACTTTCTGCGTAGAGTACCAACCAGGAAACATTAAATTTGAAGTAAAAGTTATCATGAATATGCACATTCCTTTACTAGTACCATTTGTTTTTTTCAGGTTGTGCCTTCTATAATAAATGGTTGTATAACAGCACTGTATCTGGTCTTGTGGGGAAAGGGACTGAAATCATGTGGACCAGTTAGGTTGGTTTTTGTATTCGCGAAGAAAAATTCAGTTGGTAACTTTAGAATGTCAAGTGCTTATTCTTAACTATATAAAGAATGTCAAGTGCTTATTCTTAACTATATAAAGAATGTCAAGTGCTAAAATACCTTTGAGTTTTGTGGCATTAAGGCTGATGCTCAGCCATGTAGATCCCTGATTTTCAGTTTGTCATAGTTCAATTGAATTATCCACCATTGTATAGTTATTTCTTAATCATGTTGTTATTGATGTGTTGACTGGTGCTCTGATTTGAATGAGAATATTTTTTTTTTTTTGTTATTATTGGTCTATGAACTTGATGTAGTTATTGTTTTTCTTATTAATTTAGAGCAATATTGGCTGAGTATTCTGGTGCTGTCCTTGGAGTACTGTCTGCAGTGTTATATGGTAGGAGAAGCCATTTGTGGAAAAAGGTAACACTTTCAGATAATTATGTTAGATATGCTATATAAATGATACCATGTGCTCCAAATTAATTAAATACCTATCCTCCAAGAGTTAGTGTTTTTTGCACATGTTTCTCCTTTCTACTTTATCTGTATTGATAATAAATTTCTTCCAAAATTGTAATTGCTTCCTGAATTGTTCCAATGAAGATGTCGTTTTTCTTTCCCATCTCTTTAAGCTCTTCCAGTTATATTGCTTCTTAAGTTTTTTTCATGTTTCTTGTTGTATTTAGTCTCAGCTGTTTTAGAGGATCTCCTATCCTTCCCTTGTTGTACTTTCCTCCTTTCTCTCTAATAGAAAACATTATTTTTGCAACAAAAAATATATAAAATTTTTAAACCTTCTTCTTTGATAAAATAATAAACAAATAAAACTTATTTCCAGATTGTATTAAGGTATATTAAATGATATGATGTGCTCTGCTGGTTGTGCTTGATGTGTTTGAAAGATAAGTTTAGGATCTTCTCTAATCTGGTGAATAATTTCTTATTTTGAACCAGATAGGTGGCCTAATTGCCATGTTGGCATCTTTATACCTGCTATCTGAAGGATGGGCTACAGCGACATATTCTCCATTCTATATCCTCATTCAGACTGTATTATTTTCTTTTTCTTAATTTGACTAAGTTTACTGCTAAAATATCTTTTACACCATGTATTACTTCTCTTGTTTGTCAATATTTTCATCCATTTTCATCTTTTTCATATCTGTTGTAATCTTAACGGAAATCTACCATGGGAAGATAGAGATGATTCTGAAACTCAGACTGAACAAGTTTTGGGCTTGAGGCAAATGTTAGTTCCTATTTTTGCTGGTATTCTATCAGCCCTCAGGAGGGTAATTGCGAGGCGCGTTTCAATCAAGGTGGTATTATTCATGTTATGTGTTATTACTACTTTCTCTTTGGTGTGAGATGCTTTATTTATATACTAATATCTAACCCCAAACTTCTTATGTTTTCAGAATCAACTTAAAAGGCGACTCCATGCTTTAACTATTGCTTCTGCGACATGTTTTATGTTTCCTATTGCCATGTGGGACATAATCATAGTGAGTTCTATATCATGGTTTCCATTTTTAGGTCTAAATTTGGATAGACTTTTGTCCTTGTAGAGTTCTTCTTGTATTGTTTTGTGGTCTTTGCTTGATTGTTGTTTGACACTTTCTGTGACCCTCTTACTTCCCCCCTCTCATTTGAATCCTGCAGGGATCACCTTCTGACAGCAGTGGAAAGTTGCCATTCTCTGCTTGGGCCTTCTTGAGCACTATTCTATTTGGAAATATTGTGATATTCTATGCTGACAGTATTGCAGAGGAGAGGTATGCCACGATAGTCTTGCCATAAGTAATGGTTAAGTGAGTAAAAATGAAGGCATATTTGCATTTTGGCAACCGGGTTTCTTTTGCTCTTTAGATTATCGGACAAGGTTCTCCATGATAACTATCAACTAATTGCATTCCAGCTGTAATATTCTCCTTTTTCTTATTGGAAAATCGGCTTCAATTTTCAATTTTATGAAATTATAATGCCTTATCCAGAAATTAATTACCTGATTTTTTTCTGATTTTATGCAATGTATGAAGAAGTTTGGTTAAGATTAGGTCAAATTAAAATTCAATTTTGATCTGGTAAGATTTTAATTGTATTTGAAATTTCTGTATGGTGTAAGATAAGATAACTGAAAAATCATATATTTATTGTAGATTGCACATGGTTTTCTCCTCACCAAGGCATTTAATGGTAGCTGGTGCATGTATCATCATCATGGAGATTGTGTACAAGATGGATTTTTCTCTTATGGGCTTCATGGTTTGCTGCTTAATATTAGGTTTTGGTATGTTTAGTTGTTAGTTTCGAATATTAAATATTCTCTTTAAATTTTAATTTTTATGGATTATTTTAGATCTGAACTAGTTGTGAATTCATTGTCATGGTTTTTTTTAATTTTTTTCATTAGGTTTGCAATTTCAGTTAGTGGGGAATGTGTTGAAAATAACCACTTACGTACAGTAGCTAGTTGTTGGACTCATCAAATATTATGATTTAATTTATTAGTTTTTTGTTTCTAGTTCTCGCTTTTAGTAGTAAAATGTTAGTAGCAGGCCCCATTTAGGAAAGTGAATGTGAGAAGAAATAAGGAGTTTGACTATGACCTAAAAACTTCACATAATTTTGTTAGAGATGTACCATACATATGTTTTCACTTAACAACTTAAGCTTTTGAGATAAGTTGTTCATGACATAGTGATCTAGAATTCAATTCTTGCTACCTCCATTTTTTTGATAAAAAGTTGAGTTCCATCACATGGTAGATGGGTTTGTGTATTGTCCAAACTTCAATCCCATTGCATAAAGGGGCATATTAGAGATGTATTATAAAACCATTCATGTGTATTTATCTAGCAACTTAAGCTTTTGGGATGGTTGGTTCGTGACAGTTTTTATAATATGTCAACTCATGATTGAGTGATAGTGTATAAAACTTTACACTGACAGTGAGTCAAAATTAAACTTGAGTTCTTATTGCTTGAGAAGTAGTGCTGCAATGTTAATGGCTGAAGTAATTATTTTTCGGGGGAATAAGTGAGCTTAAAATTAGACTTATACAGTTACATGTGGGGGTGGAATCTACATTGTTCAAGCAAAATTGTTTTGTTTACTCTTCTGTCTGATTATTTTTCTTGGATTATTGGAATGAAACTCAAATTTTCAACATTAGTTATCCATCATTATTGGAATCGCTATGCCTATACCCTTTTGGTTTTCATTTTTAAAGACAAAGTTGTTATTATATATGGTGTTGTAGAACAAAGCTTTGGTGAAAAAATACTATGGGATATGCAGTACAGTGATGTATACTTATTTTCACAATCAGTTTTGTGAAATCTGATAAAAGATTTATTAAAACTTCACAGTATACTTATTTTCAACGTGCATTATTTCTGCTTTCTTGTTTCTGTCCCCCCCCCCCCCCCCCCCCTCTCTCTGTCCCTCTTTTTCTTGATAGTTAATCTTAAATGCTCATTGCAATGAAATTTTGTAGGGATATATGAAGCAACTTCATTGGACCGCAATAGAAAAGATTCTATCCGAAATTCTGATTTATCAAATGGAGAATTTGATGATCAAATCCAGATGTCGTCATTACCTACTTGAAGTATGTGCATTTTATTCCTGTAACTTCTTATTGTGAAATGTGAATTTGTTGCTAATTGTTTATTTGGTGTGTGTGTGTGTGTGTGTTTCTATACATTTCTGCCCTGAGCTTGTATTTAATTCAATTTATAGGTATGGAACATCTAATTGACACTTGACACTAATTTTGTAGCATCAGTATCAACATTTTACTCCTGATTCTAATATATAATGAGGCTGATCGCCAGTTTTTGCAGTTGTCCATTTAATATTCACTGTAAGCAATAATCATAATATCATATAAAAATATATAGGGATATCAGTCCAGAACAATATTATGAATTGAAAGAGCACAGAGAAATATGCACCTTTTGGATAGTGATAGGCACACTTTCATACAGAAGGTTGCACGTGGAGCATAATAGTCTAGTGATAAGAATCAACCCTCATCTATTCTTACATGGTTTGGCTTCTTTTTTTTGTTTATTTTTATGAATAAATTGTTTGGCCTTCTGGTGAATGCTGGGTGTGTCTAAAGCTTTTTGTGGTTTTGGTAGAAGTAAAGAGGTTAAATTTTGGTGGCAATATGCAATGCATGCTGTTATGCAGTGTATTTGGTTGGAGGGTGTAACACCAGTCCTTGTGTTTTTAAGTAGGTTTCTTAGGCTCAGCAGCTTATTTGGGATAAGATTAGGCGATTAACTTCTCTTGTCTATTTAAATAGGTTTCCCTAACAGATATGCAAGTGGATTGGATCAGCTTTGTTCACTTGATGTTTCCCTTTTTCTTTGTTTTATTTTTCCCTTTTCATTTTGGAGGATGGAGGATCCCCTAATCTCCAATTTCCTTGTAATTTTCTTCTCTCCGTCCTAATGAATTTCTTCTTTCTTAAAAAATCACTCCCCATAAAATCCCGACTTATAAGGGTAAGGGTGAGAAATCATTTACCTTTACATTTTTTGTAAAGAGGCTATTTCTTGGATGTGAACCTGTGTCATTCTGATCGCAAAGGAGTAGCATTACCACTACTCCAAGCTCGCCCTCGTGAATTTCTTCTTTTATCAAGAAAAAATATAATTACAGCAACATAAACCTACTTTTGTTAATTAGTCTGAGAATGTTATTATATTTTGACTTCTTGATTCTGCTTGATAGAATATCTGAAAATATGAAAAATATCTTATCATACAATCATTCTATCATAAAATATGTTTAAGAGTATCTTATACTATCTCGTAGGAATGGTTTCCATATTTCCATAATTCATGATTTGTTTCCTTATTTAATTAAGATTAGTAGTCTAAGTCTTCTATTAGTATAAATAGAGGTTAGTGTTTTGTCTTTTGTATTATCATCATATCACATCCTTCAGACCAATATCACTATAATTTTATTATTCTGAGAATTCCTTTACTCCCTTCCTTCTTCCCTACCTAAAATCCTATAATTTCAACACAGTTGTTGTCTATACAACATTATTGGTTGCAATTGCAAAGGCGATTTCTTTATTTTCTTCTAGTCATTATTCACTGTCAATAGCATTAGTTGATGTGGAGGAGATAGTTTGCTTTAAAGATTTAGAGCAACTGTTAATGTGTGATCTGGAGATAATTAATCACATTCTGATTGGTTTGCTTCTCTTGAAATCAGATTGAAATGAGGTAAAACTCTTCCTGAATTGAAATTCACAATTTATTGCCAATCAATTGCCACGTTGAAATCTTGGAGGAACAGATAGCAACAAATATCATATGAATTGGATTCTTCACAATATACAAACTGAACATATTTCCCAATATGTAAAAACTTACTGAGATGAAAACTATGTCCAAGAAAATGAAAATTAGAAAACATGGGATAAAACTATAATGATAGTTGTTGGGTCGCAAGTAGTTTTATTTCATACACTTGGAAAGAGATTAACCATGTTCCCTTGTGCGCCCAATTATAGGGATTTAACAACAGTCAACACTATCTCTTTGCCTCTAATATTATTGCTGGGGAAGCTGGTGCAATCACTTGTTTTCCTGTACCCTTATCAAAACAACATTTTAGCTAAAAACAATATATTCTGACAGAGAATTGGAAAATAGCTCTTATGCAATTTCCATGACAGAAGATGGAAGGATAGAAATTGAAAACTTTGGATAGGATTAATAAATAGTTGCAATAAAGATGGCGAGTCTCGAGTAGTGGTAAAATTGCTCTTTTGTGATTGAAAGATCACGAGTTCGAATCCAGAAAACAACCTCTTTTGCAAATACGTAAGGGTAAGGCTGCGTATAAGGATTGCCACCTATACCCTTGCTAGTCGGGATTTAATAGGGAGTGGCTTTTGGCTGTCCATTTTTACTTGAGAATGGGGAGATGATGCATTGTGGATAACTTAATAATGCTGGTTTGTTTTTATGTGAAGGAGTCTTAAGTTAGTTTGTGTTCTTTTTGCCAGGCAGGTTGGGTACACAAAGATAGGATGGACTCTGTTGACCCATTAGCCTCTTGCTATATCTTGAGTTACACTTTGTCACTGGCAATTTCATTTTGTGCACTAGTTGCAGAAGAAAAGCTGTTATCCACTGTCAAGATGTGTTATCCACCACTTCTGGGGACTCATGCGGCGAGCTTGTTATCCACGAAATTGTTGATGATTGATCTGATCTTTCGGGTGGTTGAAGTGCATTTTTAACATACAAAGTTCATTATTTTGCTTCCTACAGGAGCATTAGTCTAGCAGTTCCTTGTGTAGTTTAGGAGGAATTTTCTATCAAAAAAAAAAAACTCATTATTCGTGATCCTGGTAGAAGTTCTTTGAATCTTGATATAATTCAACCCACATGATGAAATTATTGAATGTCAAACAGTTGGTTATTCTTTGCATCACTTTCCCTTTTATCTTTTTCCCTTTCTCTCTCTTTTGTTTTGCCCTTAAAGTATATTTTGACCATCTGGGTTCACAGTAGTGTTTTGTATGATGGACCACGCTGGAAGTGTAAAACCACCCTGGGTTTACAATAATATGAAAAACAGAGGCATTATTTTTTAAAATACTTTTATTAAGGTTGATTATACTTACAACCACTTTATACTTATTACCTAGCAACTTTTTTCACTTACCTCCTTTATTGATCGGGCGGTAATAGAGATGGTTAGTATAAAGTGGTGGTAAGAATAACTAGTCTATTTTTATTTTATTTTTTATAACAACAAAATTTGGGGGAGGGAATGTTGGGGACAATGACCATATTGCCACCTTTTAGGCAAAAATTTACTTGATTGACACGCCTGAAATTTTTTTGTCAAAATGCCACGTCACAATCTCGCTGGTCTGACAAGCGGGAATGGACTGGACACGTGTCAGCGTCTGAATGGTCAACTATTCTCGTGTGCTGCCCAACTAGAATGACAGAATGCTGACATGGCAAAAGTAAAGGCATTCTCTGGGTGTCTGTATTTTTGCTACGTGTCAGCATTCTGTCATTCTAACTGGGCAGTCCAGCGAGAATGGTTGACCATTTAGACGTTGACACGTGTCCAGTCCATTCCCGCTAGTCAGACCAGCGAGATTATGACGTGGCATTTTGGCAAAAAAAATTTCAAACGTGACAATCAGGTAAATTTTTATTGAAGAAGTGGCAATATGGTCAAAGTCCTGGGAATGTTTCCATATTTCAAGGACATGACATAAAACTCTACGAGAGCTTACAATAGTACAAACGGCTTCTGACATCATATTTTCATCTCTTCAGTTCATACAAAAACATTGAATTTACATCATGGTAGCAAGCTTATCCCCATTTAGAAATCCATAAATTGTGAGCTAATAGGGCTAAACAACTAGTCTCAGTTAAATTTTGGAAACAGAAGACACACGTAGACGGTTTTTGATAATCATAGTCCCAACACTTTTTTATATATTAGAGGACAAGCACATTGAAATTTAACTCCATTTTATTGTATAGAAAATACTTTTCAGACGATATTGCAAGCAGTTTTGTTGATTCAAATAATCAACAAGCAAACATATTCACTAATGAGACATTTAGTGTACAAAAAGATTATATGGCTAGTCACGAGATGCTTGAGCATAAGTGGTCATGTTTAGTATAACTTCGTGCATGCCCAGACATAAGTAATGTCCTTGGGGATTCTGGTGCTGCAACTTGACAAAACATGTTGACTTCGTGCAACTTAAGGGAAATGTATCAAACATTCCACCAGAGAAATTGATACACTTGAGATAGAACAAAAAACTAATGATGTAATATTTTGATTGAGGTAAAAAAAGAAAAGAAATTCCAATGACATTTAGAAGTAACTTTAACTCAAACAAGAATTTCTGAAATTCTTAAACTTCAAATACAGTTCTCATTTTTTGTTCTGTGCCAGTGCAAGCAGGTGCCCTCTATAAGTCATGTTTGTTTTTTCTGGTAGAATTAGTCATTCCTTTGGTGATGACATGAGTAAGAATCCCAATGGGACAAAAGAACAAGCAAAGAGAAACTGAATGCCGAGTCTCAATCTGATTCTCTAATCCATCTAGAAAAACCTGCCTGAATTTATAGACACAAATATGTTATTTACAAGAATAACTAAAGAATGAGAAAGCAAAGTAGAGTAGAGAGGATGGAAGAGGAGGAAAGAAAAGATGCAGAACCTTGCAGCAAAGAGATCAATAACAAGTAGGTGAATCCAAGCAGAGGATAAAGTCACCTCACTGGAGAACATTTTTCCTATACTAGTCAGCTGCATCAAGTATAAAAGAAGATAGAACATTAATATATAAATGTTTTGGAAATGGAAACTTGACTTTATTGATGAATACACACCTCTGGTAGCAAGTATTTACTTGCAAAAATCTGTCCAACTGTCTCAGGTGTCCAAGAAAGGTACAATAAATATGTATATAGAATGCCAAGCGCTACATACGGTACACTACTTTCCATAGTCTTTTTAGTCTGCATTTTTGCATTTAAGGAAAATGAATCAGGCACATGAACTACAGAAATCAAGATCCAATGCATGGTATGAACAGTGGGGTAGTAATTTGAGTTGACACAAATTTAACACGAAAACAAATACACCTAACACGAACACAACACAAATTTAAAAACAAGTCTAAACCTTCGACACGAACACAACCCGTTTATTTTATTGGTTGACACGACATAATAAGACACGAATAACGTGTATACCGAATGTAGCTTTCACCAATATCATGTTGACATGACACGACGCAACACGAATAACTTGTAGAAAGATTAATGCGGGTCAATTTCATATTTGCGGGTTGACACATAACACGACATAAATGTTTTCATGTTAGTGTTTGCCACATGAGCACTACACAAATTTAAAAATGAGTCGACCCGAACTCGAATTTCTTGTGTTGTGTCAATTGGTCGTGTTAAAAATTGTCATCCGTAATGAATAGAAAGAATATCGGAAGATCCATAACTTAACAAACATATAATTTGGTAATGGAGAACAATAATACATGGAAAGAGATATTAAACAAAAAACATACATGTATATCTGCATAAAACATAAAATGTTTTTATGCATATTATCTATACTTCTAAAAAGATATTGTCAAGAATGAAAAATTGAAGATGTTTCCCAAATATAGTAAAAAACATACTAGCTCAGAATTTGGAGCTAGAACCATGAGCGTGTAAAATGGGAGCACTGCTGTTGTTCCCAGTGTAAAGACACCGCTAGCAAGTTGCGGTCCTGACAACCCTTCAACATGAAGATAGAGAAATGAATATAGAGAATTAATATAGTCACTACCAGTTATTGCAAAAGGAATGTTCAGTGAGCTTAATACAAAGTGTATAAATAGGACCAAAAGAGATTAAGTGAGCAGCACCCTTTGCTATATAGAACTATTGATAATGATAGGAACACTCTTTAGCATTACATTTTGCATCACAGTGGAAAAAATACAACAGTTAAAAGTAAAATTTTATACACTAGACCAGAATGATTCTAGTATAATTTTATACAAAGTTATATCAGATAGAATACTCACCCTCTTTCAATAGTGTACTTGTATTTAATGTAAAAGGTCAATCAATACACTCTTAACATTGCTTTGAGTGTCCATATAAATATAACGATACAATAGAACATGTAATAATTTAGGTTAAGGCAATCCCACCACAATAGGCAAGCTAATTATATAAATGAATTTCGTATATCAATTCATTTATTTGGAAACTTCAAGTTATCCAATTTAATTTACTAGTAAAATAGAACAAACAATTTTTGCATAAGAATCAAAATGTCCAATACTAGTCCCAGAAATTTCTCACAACCAATTGGTTGTTTCTATTGAATTAAGGGACAAATTTCATGGGCTAAATTGACACTAGACAATTAAAGTGACTTTAAAGCAGAGAGACCTATAACAGAACCTCCAGCTTCTACTGCAAAAAGTTAGATGGCATGAAATAACATCATCATTTGTGCAAAACGAATATGCTAAAAAAACTTTATTAGAGTGCTTAAATTAATTTGGACCAACACCAGACATGTGAATGGTGGTATTGTGAAACTGGGTTTCAAAAGTAGCAAATGTAAGCACAAAAAAGGATTTACATGAAGCATATACTCGACTGGCTTTTTGATAAGGAACCAATTTCACAACTTTTGGTTTCACAGCAACTCTTGATCCTCCTATGAAACTCCAATCTCTGATTAAGTTGACTCTACTTCTCACAATGCGTTGGTTACAAAGCTCAGCACCATTGCTTCTGATAGGGAAGGGAAACTTTTTCCCCTTCTCAATTGTTCCACAAGGTGTCATGGCCTGCCTCATGTGATCAATCTATAAGAAATGGAACCTCAATTGTAAGCAACCTTCTTCAACCCAGAAACACACACATGTTATTTAGACATCAGAATAAATAATCTACATGATTGATCTTTATCTTACACACAAGTTATCTGGCAAGTATTGAAAAGTTGCATGTTTTATATATGTGCAAGAGTGTGATGGTAATAAAAGTACTTCTTAAGTGGACAAACTGCATGAATTTATAGGTTTTGTGACACACAGAGCCAACTTTTTGACATATAACATACCAACATGCCCCTTAGTATATATGTTAGAAAAGAGTAAAACTATTAGTATAACCTCACTTAACAGCTTCAGCTTCTGAGTTGAATTAGTTCTTTACATGATAACAGAGCTAGCTTTATAATATAGATCCATAGAATGACAAACATTTATCTCCAAATATCAAAACATGTACTGTTCTGGACCCACCTAATGAGTCCCAAATGTTCTTCTAGATATTGAGCTTTATCCACTAAAGACAAACACTTTATAAATAAAGGGTTAAACCCCATATATACACACAATTCTGAAACCTCAGCATTTTTCATTATGCACACACACTGCCTCTTTAACTTCTTACCTATTATTTGTACACAGTGATCCGTCACCTTTTGCGGATTTCTCTTCTATAGACTCTAGTACCTCACAAATCCCACATTAATTACTATACTCTCGGATCGAACATGCACAAATGCCCGTTTCATTACTAATATCTTATTTATTCAAGTTCAAAACCTTAAAAGAATCAAAAAGAAAGAAAGAAAAAACTGGAGATATTAATTAGAACCACTAGGAGCATATCAAACACTGGATAGGAAAACACAGAAACTGTACCTTCAATGCTAATGGAGAATGGCAAAAGCAAGAAGAGAAAGCCATGATTGAAGCAAAACGAGGAGGACACCCAATACCAGATTCAGCAACTATGACCGCTTCATAAAGTAATATAATGCATAGATGATAACAGTGACACGAATTTCCACTTGATGAGAAACAAAGTACCAAAGCAAAGACCCAAAAAAGAGGAGAAAAAAGGGTAATAGTCCACTAACTCCAAAGAGTTAAGAGTTAGAGTTATATGGAAGACAGGTACATGCACCAAGGACCAAAAAAGTTGGCTAAATAGAAGGACAACGTTCATATCCCACTCACATTGCATCATCTTTGTGGGTCTTATAATTCAGTTCTTTATTGGATGGTTATGTCTACTTGAGTTGACCATTGCAACAAAGCGTACACAGAATAAATTTTTGATACTGCTCTGTCATAGATTCAGTGTATCTTATCAATAAAATTATTACATTAATTTTTTTTTTTTTTTTGTCAATTTTTTTTTTCTCTCATCTGATATGTAATGCTGTCATTGATAAAATGCACTGAATTTAAGTACACTACTGGTACCAAAAATTTATTCCATGAGTTCGGTGGTCACTTCACTAGTTGTCTGTTTATTTGGGATGACCAATTGTTACTTTTCATGTTTTTTACCTTTTTTATTTTAAATATTACACTTTTTATCAAGTTCTTAGTAATAATATTTTCACAAAGTTACATTTACACTTTTCTTCTATATTCTAATATAAATTTCTTAATTTAAGAGTTCTTGATCTAGTGATAATCTAAGCTAGATCCCATTGACTTACTCAAAGTATAGTGGGTTCAATTTTGGAGAGTCGCAATTTCTAAAAAAGATAGAGAAACTCAAATCCGAAATTGGATTAACAATCGTTGATATTCACGAAAAAAAAGTAAAATAATATAAGTTACTTATAACATGCTATAATTTTGTCTAGAATGATTTAAATTGTGTACACATGAAGAAGGAAAGTTTTTTAAGGGTTTATTATTTCTCCTATCATAAAACTGTACTGCAACCCAAAATTGTGTTGTTTTAAAAGTTAGGAGAATTAATGAAAGATATTTTAGTAAAATTCATATAATCAATAAACAAATAAAATTACTAAAACACCCATCATTAATTTCCTTAATTCTCAAAACGACGTAGTTTTAAAATTGTAAGAGAAAATTTTATCTCTTGTGACAAGAGAAACAATAAACCCTTTTTATAATGATTAGTGTTGTTATCACGTGGTTTTAAAGTCACAATTCAATTATGTAATTAGCTTGTAAATATAAAACAAGCATGCCTATTATATCTACGTTATTGATTTGGCCCTTCCGTAAACCTTGTTCAAAATATGAATTTTATAACAAGAAATTGTCTTTACATTTAACTTGTGTACACACATAATATAATTTGGGTAAATATTTTTTCTTAAGCATATATAGTAATCTATTAATTAAAGTTTACTTATAAGAATATATGATCTAACTATTGTGTTATCATTTCTCTAATCTTTTTAATAGATATTTTAGATTGGATAGATCATATAATTATTATTTTTTCAAATAATTGATATTTGTTTAAAGTCCTTTAAGTATGATTTTTACTTTTTTCCAGACTTAAGTTTAAACAGCAGTTCCTCATTTGATGAGGCTAATAATGTAGAGGTTTGATATAGTATAAAATAAATGTATGTCCTTTATATAGGATTACATTTTCAAGGAATATATTAGTGAAAGTTTGAGTCATAACATGAGGTTTGCACTATATTTGAACGAAATAGAACACAATATATGAATTTTATTCTGTATTTAATATATTTAAAAAGATATAAGAATAAGACAAAACAAAGCAGTCAAATGCAACTTTAGTTTAAGGCAAAAATATTTCTTATGTTACTGCAAATTACTCTGCACATATTACTTTCACTTTCTTTCTCTCTCAATTGCAAAATCTGAACTTCTCGAAGTTGAAACCCCTTAGTTTAATACCATAAGTATTAATTCATTGAACTAATTCATATATGAAAACTCTTCAAGATTCTATCCCAATTAATGAACTTTGAGTCCTTAGCCAAAAATATTAAGTTTGAAACATGCTATGACCCCTCAAATCTAAAGTGTATATATTAAACAATTATGAGAAAACGAATGGAGTAAATTCACATATATCTATAATTTATTATGTAGGTACATGTATTTTACAAAATTTAAAACCATTTATTTTCTCGTCAATATTTATCAATGTTATATTTTACTCACACTCTTATTTTGAAAAGATCAAAATTCATATAGAATATAGTAGGATAAGAACTTAATAAAGGAGCTGATGAAATTTTACACTACCAGGCATTTGATGTACAATTATATAAATAGCTTGAGAATCAAATATTCTTTCACCCTTTCGTGTTCCCTTTATTGTTGAAAGCTCTGTTAAAAAAAAAAAGTTATGACTAATTTATAAAGAGTAAATGAGTTTTTTTTTCCCAAGCTGTCAACATTTGATTTAGAAGAAACATAAATGGAAGATTTGATTCAAAAAGCTTAATAGTATATGTTTATCGTCAAGTAAGAAATAAATAGATAAAAAATCTCTAATGAGAATGGTGACCAAGGCAGACCCAAGGGGTAGCTAGGATTGACAGCCTCCTCTTCTCTAAATTTTGAATTTTTTTATTATATATAAAATAATATTTTTATAATATTAGTAGATTATTAGTTCTAATAACAAGCTCATCCCTCAAATTAAAAAAAAAAAAAAAAACTAAAGAAAACTCTATCCCCAATCCAACCACTGTTGTCTCAACTCTCAAAAATAAAAATAAAAATCAAATACGCGAATCAATAATCAATTGACACGGGGTTGTTTCACCTTTATCAGTGATTTTGAGTTCTAACCTGGATACACAACTGTGTTAAAAACTTAATATGAAGAGGTTTGCCGCATTTATGATATTGCCTGGCTCGAATCTGATTTAGTCAATGGTTGTTGATGATCAGATATTAAATAGTTTATTTATACAAAAAAAATCTTCTATAAAAGCAAAAGAGAAAATATTAATTAGAGCAACGTCTACCTCATTCTCCCCTAGATATCTCAACTCACAATGCTATTCGCAGCTTTTGATACTACATGAAACCATTATGCAATTTCACATGATTTTATAGGGAGTCAACAATTTTTTATTTTATTTTTATTATCTCATTCAATTTCTTCTTATGCATCCAAGGCTGCAACTTTATATATGTGTTACTTTCTTCCTATTTTATTGAAGGTTGAAAAATAAATTTGGCATAACATCAAAGCCCAAAAAATCTCAAAACAAGTAGTGTAATTTAGTACAAATAGAGTAAAAACTTTTATGGGAAAACATTCTATTAATTTTGTATGTAGAGAGTCCTTTGAAATGAAATGAATTTTGATCGAACTCTCTAACAAATAAAAAAAATAAAAATTAATAAAGTTATTTTTGTTTATTATGTCACATTATAAGTACTTTTATTTAAAATATTTTTTTTATTTTATTTTCACCCCATCATACAAGTTCTAGGTCCGCCATCGATGGTGATTGGTGATAACAATTTTAGTGATGAATGAGGGTTGCAATGACAACAATAACAATAGCCACAGTAGTAGCATATATGGTAATGACGATGACGAAGGGGATGGACCAAGTACTAGTGCAGCAATACACTATTTCTTTTTTTAGTACAGATACACTATTTAATCATATGTTATTGCATTTTTAATTAATTTTGGGCAGTTATATTTAGTATATTTTCACCCTTATTATTCTTATTATATCAATTTGAAATTAACGGTTGGAAAAGAAAAGAAAAGAAATTTAAATGTCGTCGATTTCAAAATGATCCAACGATAATCAAAAGGGTAGTAAAATTAATAAGGCTAAAAATATAGTAAATATAACATTCTCCATTTTGGGGCGGTTATACTTACTACCTTTTTAGTCTTATTATTTTCTAGTATGATGATAATTATATGGGGAAATTAAATTATTTTAATGTATAAAGAATCGTTTCAACCCTGAGAAGTGAAGATCCATTAATAGTTTATATATATATATATATATATATATATATATATAAAACAGCCCCTCGTACAAGAGTCATTTGGGTCTGAAGTATGAATATTGCACGGAACCTTTTTTTTATTTTACCTTGTGCTGACTTAATTCCACTAGAAAATAGAGGACGATGAGTATCAAATTCTTGACCCCATGGTCGATGATCACCGACCATGTAAAGCAATCCTTTCACTGAACAGCTTAAGTTAACAAGTAATAAGTCTTAAATGATTTTTATATTATATCTCTTTAACATAATGTGAAGATAATGTGAAAAAAAAAATTCATAGTGGTATAGATGACAAAAATAAAATCTCAACCACTATTGCATAAAATTTGTACACGTCCTTATAGCTAAATTAAACTTGGGCAGTAAATCAATTGAAACATGCATTTTACTTGACAAAATTTATTTAATTAAGAAGGTTGAGATAGTGACCCAAGTATAGAGAATTTACCTATGTAACACTTATTATAAAGGGAGAAAAAATTAATAATTTCACTATGCTACAAGTGGGAGCTCCTCAATTTCAACGAATAGTTTGAATGGATTCTAAGACTTTTACACCCTATAAATAGGTCCCTTGGTATATGGGGGGGCAAAGAGAGGCAAAACAAAAGTATGACGCATCATTGACAATTAGCACGCAACAATTTTAGCACAAGTTCTCTTCATTTCGTTCTCTACTATATCTGGCAAAGACTTATCATGTCTCTATCTCCACTTTACTGAAGCTTTGTAATTTACCAAACTCTCACGATACATATTTATTTTTAGTTATTCTTTTCCTAAGTTAATTTAGAAATCTATCATTGTCAAAGAGCATGGTGTTGTATGGGTTCCTCCAATAGGTGGATATCTAATTGGGATCACCACCTTTGTTGGAACACTCTCAAGGGCTTTTTGACACAAACAATCCAAAATCGGAAATATTTTATCTGTTTGATTTA